CCAGGGAGTCATTGATCTAAATGTTTGGACATGCTGCACACAGAAGTTCAAGCATTTCTACAAAGCAACAGATGGGAAATTTCCCAGGGATAAACTTATTTTTTGGCAAGTCAAAAGTATGTAGTATGCAACCCCGGCTTTGGGAGGGAGAACCAAATGACCTTCAGATGCTGGAAAAATGATTCTCCCCTGCTGAAAGAGGTCAAGTGTATTTGGCCAAAGGGGATCTAAAATGCCTTGGCTTCCAACTTCAGGGAATTGAGCTTTTCCCTCTAATTTTCCAGCAAAAGGGAAGGAAATGTTGACCCTAAAACCACATGAAGCTGAAGCTAGAGGCCACTGTAGCAGTTCACCAGATCTCCATTGTTAAATTCTATATTGGCCTTTTATTGATATATTTGTCATTATTTTCATTAATGCGTTAGAGTATAGGCTGTTTGGATCCAAACCTTGACTCTTCTACTTACTCGGTATGAGACATTGATTAAGTTGCTAAATCTCCCTTCAGTTCTTAGAATCTGTGCTTCAGGTTTTTGGTTTATAAAATGGTGATAATGACACTTTCTCAGAGGGTTGTGGTAAGGATTAATGGTTGATGGATGTAAAGTACAAAGAACATATTAATTGCTATGTAAATGTTAGCTATTATCAATACATGTGACAATTTTTCCTTCTCCGTCTTCTTGTCCCCCTCCCCATCCCCCTCCTTTCTTATTTTGTTGGCAAATAGTCAGATTCCGTTTGGAATGCTGTCGCACTGTTTTATTCTGCTTCATGGATGTTTCTCGGGGGGAAATTTCTGCAGTTGATGTGTGTTGAATTCTGTTTTCTGATTTTTTGCAATAACTCTGTATGGATCTGTTAATATTTTCCTTGTGCTGATAGTCACTCTTTCATCTTCCAGATATGGAAACTGAGTCCCCAAAAGGGAAAATGACTTGCCCGAGATCACACAGAGATAGTGGATAAACAAGTAACAAGACCAAGAGTTTCTGACGACCAGTCAAAGTCTTGTTCCACTGAACATTGTCCAAGGACATTGGCCTCAGATACTGATGTCATCTGAGCTCCCTCCAAACTCTATTCACCCACAGGGAAGACTTGAACACCCTATGATTCCAAGTATTCTCCAATTGACATCTTCCCCTTCTGACAAAATTGCAAGCACTTCAAGGGAAAGGCCTATGACTTGATTATTTTGGAATCTTAGTTATATGCTCAGCACTGTGCCTCAGACTTTTGAGGGTAGGAACTATTGCCTATAACGCCTTGGATGACTAGGGGCAGATGCTCAGTAAATGGAACCAGCTGCTCCGCCTTTAAAAAAAGGAAGAGTTGGGAAGGCAGGGAAGAGAATTAATATGTATCAAGAACTTAATATATACCAGTCATTGTGCTGAGAATTTTCACTTTCATTATCTCATTTAATTCCCAGAATTCCTTTATGGCATCATCAATTTCTGTATTTTACAATAGGAAATTGAGGCTCAGAGAGGTAGGCAACTTACCCTGAGTCTCTTCACAACTAAATGCTCAAGTGTGACATTTCACTGGTAGGTCATAACCTTCTGGAATCCAATATTATAAACACAGAGTGAGAGGAAGAAGAGTTCTGACACTTTCCAGAGGGTAAAACAAGTTTTTTATTCTCACTAGAGAACTATGAAATTAGTCACATGAATTGTGAAAACCTAAGTCATGGTTTTATTTGTTCAGTGACAGTGTGGAAAATGATATCAAGCTAGAAAAAGAATATAAAGGAAAATCGTGAGTGTTTCAGTCTTGCTCATAAAGAGAGACCTATCGTTACCAAATCCAGGCAACCTGAACCCACCCTTCCTGCAAAAGTTTTATCTACACTAGAATTTTGAATGGGAGACAAAAAAAATAAGCTATATGATTTATAATATGGAGAAGGTGAGTTTCATAACAGGGCAAGGCCCAGGTCTGAAAAATATTTAGTCCCTGTGCTAGACTGGAAACAGCCCCCTAAAGGCCAGGTCCTAATCTCTGGAAACTGTAAATGTTTCTCTATTTGGAAAAGGGGTGTTTCTTTTTTTTTTTTTTTTTCCAGATGTGATTAAGTTAAAAATCTTGGAATGGGAGTTTTATCCTGTATTATCTGGGGGTGGGGGGGATGGGGGGGTGCTAAATGCAATTATAAACGTCCTTATAAGAGAAAAGCAGAAGAAGATGTGACACATCCACAGAGAAGGATATATGAAGACACGGGCAGATACTAGAGGGATACAACCATAAGCCAAGGAATGCGAGCATTCAGGAGAATCTAGAGAGGCAAGGGACGGATTCTCCCCTAGAGACTTTGGAGTGGGTGTGGCCCTGTCAAGAACTTAATTTTAGCCTAGTGAAATTGATTTCAGGCTCCTGACCTCCCAAACTGCAAGAGAATAAATTTCTGTTGCTTTAAGCCACTTGGTTTGTGGTAATTGGTTGGAAGAATCACAGGAAACGAATACAGTGCTCCTGTGTTGTTATCCAGGTTTCAGCTTACTGCCGTCTCCTTTCCCTTCCATCTGGAAGCCCCAAGAAGAGTTTCTAAAAACATCCTAGGCTGGGTGCGGTGGCTCACGCCTGTATCCCAACACTTTGGGAGGCCGAGGTGGGGTGGATCACCTGAGATCAGGAGTTCAAGACCAGCCTTGCCAACATGGCGAAACCCTGTCTCTACTAAAAATATAAAAATTAGCTGGGTGCAGTGGCAGGCGCCTGTAATCCCAGCTACTCCGGAAGCTGAGGCAGGAGAATCGCTTGAACCCAGAAGGCAGAGGTTGCAGCGAGCTGAGATCACACCATTGCACTCCAGCCTGGGTGACAAGAATGAAACTCCATCTCAAAAAATAAATAAATAAAAAATAAAAACATCCTAATATTTACTGAGTGTCTCTTCTGCCAGACACAATACCAGGTGCTTTACATGCAATAGCTCACCAAATCCTCACAATCCTATTAAGTAGGTACTAATACTATTCCTATTATACAGATGAGATAACTGAGGCTCAGAGAAAAACTGGCAGGGTCATATCCTAACAGGTGATGAAGCTAGTACTCCAACTCAGGTCTGCCCAAATATAAAGCCCATACTTTTAGCCTCTAGGCTACATCACCTCAATCTCTCTGGGTTGTCAGGGATTTAATTCTATCAATGGATGGCATTTTGAGACACTTACTTGGGGGATGTTTTCAGGGATAGATGTGGGACCAAAGGAGACCAAGCCTGGCTGCACTCCGGCTCAACAAACTGAGCTACCACTTCCATGTGCCTTTTTCAGCAAATAGGAGATAGCCAATCCTAGAATCATAGAAAGCTAGACCGAAAATGATCTCAAAGATCCATTTGTTCAAACACCTCATTATTTATAGACAAGGATGCTAGCCCCAGAGGAGAGGGTCACATACACAGGTTATAGATGAGTGACAGAGTTGTAATTAACTGGAGCCTAGATCTGACTTCAAATTCAGGGTTGGTTCTACTGCATGTCACACTGACCAAAGTCATGGGTGTTGCTGTGGTCTAAGGTGCTGACCAAACTTGAGAAACTTGGGAATAAGGGAAATAGAGAAATGGATCACAAACCTCCTGAAAGCTATAGTGCTCCAGAGTAGTCATTCTTTTTTCTTTCTTTTTTTTTTTTTTTGAGATGGAGTTTTGCTCTTTTGCCCAGGCTGGAGTGCAGTGGTGCGATCCTGGCACACTGCAACCTCTGCCTTCCAGTTTCAAGTGATTCTCCTGCCTCAGCCTCCCCAGTAGCTGGGATTACAGGCACCCACCACCATGCCTGGCTAATTTTCGTATTTTTAGTAAAGACGGGGTTTCACCAGGTTGGCCAGGCTGGTTTCGATCTCTCAACCTTAGGTGATCCACCCGCCTCAACCTTCCAAAGTGCTGGGATTACAGGCTTGGGCCGCCGCGCCTGACGAAGGTATTCGTTCTTACCTAAGACATTCTACAGGGCTGATAGGGGTAAGCTTCCGGTTTGAGATGGAGACTGAAGGGACCGTGATTGTGTAACCACATCCCAAAGTGGAAGGAAAGAAATGTCATGAATTTCTAGAACTGAAGGGATTTCAGGAAACCTCAAGAGTGACAGCATCAGAAAATGCAAGAGATTAAAAAAAAAAAAAAAGTGGAAGTTTTGGACAAATAAATGTGAGTTGTATCTTATACAATCAACAAGTAACTGGTTTGGGAAGCTTAATATCCCTAAATAGCGGAGCAGACCACCCCTCATATTATCTTATGCCCAATTTCTGCCTCAAATAAAAAGTAGGAGTTAAAGACAGAAGTTAAATCAGTAGTCAGACAGCCCAGCGCTGCATTCCAGGCCTGGTAATTAAAGATCCAGCCCTGAACTAACCGGTTATATTATCTATAGATTCCAGACATTGTATGGAAAAGCATTGTAAAAATCCCTGTCCTGTTCTGTTCCCTTGTGATTATCGGTGCATGCAGCCCCTAGGCACACACCCACTGCTTCCTCAATCAATCACGACCCTCTCAGGCGGACCCCCTTAGAGTTGTAAGCTCTTAAAAGAGACAGGAATTGCTCACTCGGGGAGCTCGGTTTTTGAGACTTGAGTCAGCCCACGCTCCCAGCCGATTAAAGCTCCTTCCTTCTTTAACCCGGCGTCTGAGGAGTTTTGTCTGCGGCTCCTTCTGCTACATAATAATGGTAGAGGCTGAACATTTCTCATGTTTACCCAGCCTTCATGCTTAATAAGGTTGTTGAAACAAATATGACAGAATGCATTTTAAATGCTCCGTACAGTACTAGTACACAATAAGTGCTCAGTGCACGCTAGCTGTTATTATTAAAACATTAATTAATAACAGTAGTAACAACAGCCACTGTCTTTAAGACACGTTGATCAGTGTTTCCGAAACCGTATATCCCAAGTTGCTCTTCGGCCACGTTTCGCTGCCCATTGCATTCCGGGGCTTGTAGTCCGGAAGTGAGAGGCTGATTTCTCAGCGCGCAGGCGCAGTGGCGCGGGTCCCCGGAAGAACCCGCAGCAGCTCCTAGGATGAGCTGGTTGCAGTGGCTGCTGCTGCTGCGGCGGCGCTGAGACGACACGAGCTCTATGCCTTTCCGGCTGCTCATCTCGCTCGGCCTCCTGTGCGCGCTGCTGCCTCTGCACCATGGTGCGCCAGGTCCCGACGGCTCCGCGCCAGATCCCGCCCACTACAGGTGAAGGAGGCCAGGTTCCCGCCCTTTCGCAGTTGGGGAATGGGATGCGCGAACCGGGTCCCTTCCCTTTCTGTCCATCCCAGGTCCCCTACCCCGACTTGCTCGGACCCCGCCGCTAGGTCCCAGGCAGAAATCAGCTAGTGATTCCCACTTTCCGCCCTGTATCTTGTTCTTCCCCCGCTTGTTTTTGTGTTCTGGCCCCATGCCTGATTTCTCGTCCCACGCCCAGGGAGCGAGTCAAGGCCATGTTCTACCACGCCTACGACAGCTACCTGGAGAATGCCTTTCCCTTCGATGAGCTACGACCTCTCACCTGTGACGGGCACGACACCTGGGGCAGGTAGTGCGAGCGGAGGGGCAAGGGGCGGCCAGGGTCTGACTCTCCGGGCCTAGGCGGGCGGGTCAACTGGGGCTGGTGGCTTCATGGTCTCCTCACCGGCACCGGAAAGCCCCCAGATGAGCTACAACCGCGCTCCCTCCAATTCTTGCTATCACCTCCAGGATCCATTTAGCCTCTCTCAGTGAAAAAAAAGTCCTGGATTAGCCGGGTGGGCTGGATCGCTGGGCTCAGCGCCAGCAGTAACAGGCACCAGCTATGGGGACATAGGCAATTTCTGGAGTAACAAGAAACCGTGGAAGGGCTCCAAGAATTAGAAAACCCAACCCTTTCATTGTGCAGGTGGGCATTCAGGTCGAGGAAGGAGTGTGACACTCCTAAAACTTAACTGTTTGTAGTTGGTGTTCCCTGTGCCTGAAATACACTCTCCCCGTTTTCCTCCCATAACTGGCTGCTGCTTGTCATTCAGATCTCAGCTCAGTAGTCACCTCCTCAGCATCCGCTTCCCTAACGACCCACGACTCCCTTTTAAGTCACTCTCACAAGTTACCTGTTTTATTTTCTTTGTAGCACTTCTCTTTGATACTCTCATTTTCACTTATCCACTGGTTTGTCTTTCTCGTTCCCACTAGAATAAAAATCTATGAGAGCTGGAATTCACTGGCTTATTCCTTGCTGAGTGAAGAATCCTTGCATTAGCTGAAGCTGGCATTGATTGAACACTGTGCTAAACATTTTACTGTGTCATCTCCTTTAATTATCTTAATACCCCTACAAGTTAGGTGCCATTATCCCTGTTTTACACACGAATGTGCTAAGGTCGAGAGAAATTAAACTCAAAACTTGTGATGGTTTTTATTTTTTTAAGTTGCAACAAAGTAAATACAAATGGCAAATTCAAGTGGTAAAAAATTATATACAATAAATATCTCCCATACCCTAGAATTCCAACTATTAACTTTCCTTCGTATCTCTCCAGAAATATTCTTGGTTTGTGCCATTATACATATAGATGTGTATATGTGTATCTTTTTAAAATGAACTTCTTAAAGGCATAATTTACATATAATAAAGTATACTCTTTTTTTTTTTGAGATGGAGTTTGTTGTTTCCCAGGCTGGCGTGCAATGGTGTGATCTTGGCTCACTGCAACCTCCGCCTCCTGGCTTCAAGCGAGTCTCCTGCCTCAGCCTCCCAGGTAGTTGGGATTATAGGAGCCCACCACCACACCTGGATAATTTTTTTGTGGAAATGGGGTTTTGCCATTTGGCCAGGCTGGTCTTGAACTCCTGACCTAAGGTGATCCACCCACCTCGGCCTCCCAAAGTGCTGGGGGATTACAGGCATGAGCCACCATGCCTGGCCTACGCTCGTTTTAAGTGCATAGTGACCACCATCACAGTCAAGATATGAAACACTTCTGTTATCTTAAAAAGCTCCCTTGTGACCCTTTATAGTTCATCCCTGCACCACCACTGACCCTAACAATTTCTGATCTGCTTTCTGTCAGTAAGTATGTCTTTTTGAAACACAGATGGAAACATACTAAACCACCCTGTCTTTTTCATTAAAAACAATTCGAATATCTTTCCATCAGCACATAGAAGTCTTGATGACAATCTTTTTGATAACTTCATAGTTTTGCACTGTTTATAACACAGTTTAATCACCCATTAATGGGCGGACAGTTGGGTTCTTTCCAGCCTCTTGCTGTTCTAAACAATACTGCCATGAACACTGTCAAAGAGCCGTTCACTGTGGGGTAAATTCCTAGATGTGAAAATTGGTGAAAAGCCTGTGCTTTAAGCTACAATCGTATACTGCCTCCCAATGGTAGAGGAGAATGCCAGAATATAGGTGATGTATTTAATTACAGTGGAGCTACATCAGCCAACCCTCCCAGGTGCATTAAGTGGGTCAGAGGATCCCTGCGATTTTCACTGTGGTTTCTCTGTTGTGACTGTAAGTGGGACAGGCAGAGGCATTACTTTGCCTCATTTACTTTTAGGGGGATCAGATCTAGGGCAGCCATAATGTCTGGTATTTGATTTTCTTACTAAGCGGCTGGGATTTCTGTCCTTTTGCAGTTTTTCTCTGACTCTAATTGACGCACTGGACACCTTGCTGGTAAGTATCTCGTCTGTTTCTTTTCCTTTCCACCGTTACATAACCAACATCCTTCCTCTTTTGGCAGCTTGACTGTGGGTGAAAAATGAATTCCTTTCCTAGGCCTTTTATTTGCATCTCATGATTCTGAACTGTCCGCTGCAGTTGCCTAGCTACATAGGGAAAAATGAACTACAACTCATGCAGATTCATTTATTTAGCAAACATTTATAGAGGACCTGTTATGTACGGAGACTTGTAATAGGCTTGTATAACTCTGCGGAGGATACAGAGACTTTGACATCCTCCTGTTTTCAGAGGCTTACATTCTAGGAGTCGTGTTCAATGATAATAAAAGGATATCAGGTTGAGCACGGTGGCTCACACCTGTGATCCCAGCACTTTGGAAGGCTGAGGCAGGCAGATCACCTGAGGTCAGGGGTTCGAGACCAGCCCAGCCAATATGGTGAAACCCCGTCTCTATTAAAATACAAAAAATTAGCCTGGCGTAGTGGCACATGTCTGTTATCCCAGCTACTGGGGAGGCTGAGGCAGGAGAATTGCTTGAACCCGGGAGGCAGAGGTTGCAGTGAGCTGAGATTGCACCATTGCACTCCAGCCTGGGTGACGAGTGAAACTCTGTCTCAAAAAATTAAAAATAAAAAAATAATATCAGTGACTAATTAGTATGTTTGTGTAGGGCTTAGTATAGACATGTATTAATTCTTCCAACAACTTCTTGAGGTAAGTACATATACTCCTTCTTATGGCTAAGAAACCTGATGCTTACGACTGGGTGCAGTGGCTCACGCCTGTAATCCCAGCACTTTGGGAGGCCAAGGCGGGAGGATCACTTAAGCACAGGAGTTCAAGACCAGCCTGGGCAATATGGTGAAACCCAGTCTCTACCAAAAATATAAAAAATTAGGCATGACGGCACATGTCTGTGGCTCCATCTGTTTGGGAGGAGGGTGAGGTGGGAGGATTGTTTGAGTCAGGGAGGCAGAGGTTGCGGTGAGCCAAGATTGCACCACTGCACTCTGGTCTGGGTAATAGAGTAAAACCCTGTCTCAGACAAACAAACAAACAAAAGATATAAAAGAAACCTGATGCTTAGAAAGGTAAAAAGGGCCAGGCGTGGTGGTTCATGCCTGTAATCCCAGCAGTTTGGGAGGCCAGCATTACTTGAGCCCCGGAGTTCAAGGCTGTGATGAGCTATGATCACACCACTGCACTCCAACTTGTGCAACAGAGCAAGACCCTGTCTCAAAACAAAACAAAAAAAAGTCTTGGACTGGTCCAGGTCAAGTACCCATTCCATAGCCAGAGGGATGGGATCAGCCTCTCCCAAATCACAGGAGTGACTACTGGGGAAGAGTGATTCCTAGAGGGTAAACTGAGATGTTATTTATTGTCAAAAGAAGAGAGATTGAGATTGCATTTGGCTAATGGTTGAAATAAAAAAGGTTTATTTTCTCAAGCAAAAGAAAGTCTAGAGGTAATTTCTAGCGTTGGGTCAGCTACTCAACCGTGTTATCAGAGACTAGGCTCTTTGTAGCTTTGCATTCTAGTATCGTTAGTGGTTTGGCTTTTATTCTCATGCTTAGTACCTCATGGTCTCACATAGCTGCCATCGCTTCAGAAATCAAGTCTGAGTTCAAGGCAGAAAGAGAGAGACTAAAAGCCATGTTAGCTGTTTGTCCCTTGGTATTAAGAAAACAGAAGCCTTCCCAGAAGTGCCCCCAGTAGAATTCTCAAGGGTCAGAATTGACTGGGTAAACAATCAACTGCAGCAGCAAAGGAGGCTGAGAAAGCTTCTGGATTTCCAACCTCTGGTGGGAGGCCATGAGGTAAAGAGGGTAGGAATGAATTTAGTTTTGGGTCAGCCAACCTGTTCTGTTTTCCACAAGGTTGAACATGACAAGACAGGGTTAAAAACAACTGATACCTACTGCAAAATGTCAAACTAAGACTTTTGGCTGGGTGCGGTGGCTCACTCCTGTAATCCCAGCACTTTGGGAGGCTGAGGCGGGTGGATCACGAGGTTAGGAGTTCGAGACCAGCCTGGCCAATATGGTGAAACCCTGTCTCTACTAAAAATACAAAAATTAGCTGGGCATGGTGGCGCATAATCCCAGCTACTCAGGAGGCTGAGGCAGGAGAATCCGGGAGGCGGAGCTTGAAGTAAGCTGAGATCTCGCCACTGCACTCCACCCTGGGCGACAGAGTGAGACTCTGTCTCAAAAAAACAAAACAAAAAACCTAAGACTTCCGTGTAGTTTGCATTCTTTATATTGTGTCCGTTTTTGTTTGTTTGTTTTTGAGGCGGAGTCTTGCTCTGTCGCCCAGGCTGGAGTGCAGTGGCCAGATCTCAGCTCACTGCAAGCTCCGCCTCCCGGGTTTACGCCATTCTCCTGCCTCAGCCTCCTGAGTAGCTGGGACTACAGGCGCCTGCCACCTCGCCCGGCTAGTTTTTTGTATTTCTTAGTAGAGTTTTAGTAGAGACGGGGTTTCACAGTGTTAGCCAGGATGGTCTCGATCTCCTGACCTCATGATCCGCCCGTCTCGGCCTCTCAAAGTGCTGGATTACAGGCTTGAGCCACCGCGCCCGGCCTATTGTGTCCGTTTAAATGACTACATCGTCACTCTTAATTGGGACCTAGGAATTTACTTAACCAGTCTCTTGATATGAAGTCTCTGGATGATCTCTAGCTCTCAGTGCTTTCTTCTGCTGTCACCAATCCTAGGAAAGAAACTGGAGGTCTTAAGTGGAATTTGTGAGGGCCACATCAACATAGGATCCCAGACTCTGAATCTGCCTCCATGCATGCAACAGCCTCAGCGTCAGGTCTCTTTTTTATTTCCAGATTTTGGGGAATGTCTCAGAATTCCAAAGAGTGGTTGAAGTGCTCCAGGACAACGTGGACTTTGATATTGATGTGAACGCCTCTGTGTTTGAAACCAACATTCGAGGTGAGGGCTGCTCTCTAGGACCTTTAAAAGAAAAGAGAGTGTGAAATTGCCTCTGTAAACCAAAAAGTGGTAAATAGGATTTTAAGGACTGACCATGCCAGGACCCTTGGCCAAAACCTCTGACCGACAGAGCTCTCCTTCTCTCCTGGAGGATGAGGTGGGGAAGTCTCAGGATTTCCTCATCAGTTTCAGGTATGAAAGTGACCAGGAGACTAAAAGCCTGGAAAGAAATACACCAGATTACTCACCTCTTTAATATATATTTGATACTAGGCACACAGCTATGAACAAGAGAGATATGATCCTTGCCTTCTTGGAACTTACTGTCTGTCCAATCCAATTTTCTGCAATGATGGAAATGTTTTATTTTCTGTGTTTTGGCCAGTGTGGTAGCCACTAACCACATGAGCTCTTGAGCATTTGGAATGTATCTACTACAACTATGGAACTGAATGTTTAATTTCATTTAATTTTAATGATATTAAATTTAAATAGTCACATGTGGTTAGTGATTATTGTATTGGACAGTGCAAATCTAGGGCATTAATCTTCCAAACTTGGCTGCCCGTAGGAACCACTTAGGACCTTTTAAAAAATCCAGATGTTGAAGCTCCACCCTAAACCTAATGAATTGGAATCTCTGGGTTGGGTCCTAGGATCAGTATTTTTAGCAGACTTCCAATGATTCTTGTGAAGCTACCACAACCCTTATTTGCATTGACTTCTAGACCACTTAACAGCTGTCACCTCTGGATGGCAGAGTTCTACTTTTCCCTATTATTTTGTATGTTTTCTGCAATGAAACTTATATTCCAGACATATGATCCATAAAAATTTTAAACAAGAGAAGAGAGCAGAGGGACAACATGGTCTAAAATCCTGGTTTAGGAATCCGGCGTGAGTTTGAGGCTGTGCTTGTTGACTGTGTCTCCCAGCTTCTGAGCCCAGTTTGTCATCCGTGAATGAAAGTCGTTCTTATGCCTTCATTTTTGATATGAATATAATTGATACCAGCTTTCTTTTGGTTGACATTTTCCCATGTATCTTTTTCTATCCTTTCCATCTTTCTGTAGTTTTATGATTAGATACATCTTTTGCAAATAGTGTGTTATATTTTATCCATGCTGACAATCTTTAACTGAAACATTTAATCCATTTACATTTACTGTAATTACTGATATATTTGCACTCATTTCTACAGTATTGTGCTCTCTGTGCCATCTTCTGTTTTTTTTTGAGATGGAGTCTCGCTCTGTTGCCCAGGCGGGAGCGTAGTGGTGCGATCTCGGCTTACTGCAACCTCTGCCTCCCGTGTTCAAGCGATTATCCTGTCTCAGCCTCCCATGTAGCTGGGATTGCAGGTGCTCGCCACCTTGCCCTGCTAATTTTTGTATTTTTAGTACAGATGGGGTTTCACCATGTTGGCCAGGCTAGTCTCGAACTCCTGACCTCAGGTGATCCGCCCGCCTCAGCCTCCCAAAGTGCTGGGATTATAGGTGTGAGCCACTGCACCCGGCCCTGTGCCATCTTCTTTATGTTCCTTTATTCTGCCCTTTTTCATGCCTTCTTTAGATTGTATTTCCCCCATTCCATTTTCCTCTTACCAATATGGAAATTATGCACAATATCTAGCTTTTTACATAGTTTACCAAGTAAATTTAATAAACATAACTTATCAAAGTCCAAATTTAGTGAAAATCTTTGTTCTACTCCTGAATAATGCAAAACCTGGCTTAGAGAACATCCTGACCTATATGCTATAGTTATATATTTTAGTTATTTGTTTTAAATCCTCCATACATTATAATTTTTGTTCTATACTGTTGAAGTTTTGCATTTACGCATATATTTACCACTTTTTTGTTGTTGTTTTTGGTTTGAAATAGAGTCTCACTCTGTCACCCAGGTTGGAGTGCAATGGCACGATCTTGGCTCACTGCAACCTCAACCTCCTGGGTTGAAATGATTCTCCTGCCTCAGACTCCCGAGTAGCTGGGATTACAGGTGTGCACCACCACGCCAGGCTAATTTTTGTATTTTTAGTACAGATGGTGTTTCACCACGTTGGCCAGGCTGGTCTCAAACTCCTGACCTTGAGTGATCCACCTGCCTTGGCTTCCCAAAGTGCTGGAATTACAGGCGTGAGCCACTGTGCCTGGCCTTTTTACCACTTTTTTGACTATCTTTTCTTTTCGTGTGTCAGACCTTTTCTCCAAAGTGTTTCCTTTAGAATTTCCTTTAATGCAGGTGTGTGCTTCGGAAACATTCCCAGCTTTTGTTTATATGAAAATGTCTTTATTCCACTGTCTTTGGTTGGCCTTTGGGTGATATTTTTGCTGGGTGTATGGTTCTAGGTTGATGATTACTTTCTCTTATTGTATTGAAAAAATTTTCCAATATCTTCTGGTTTCATTATTGTTAAGAAGTAATCTGTCAATTTATTATTTCTTTGTAGAGAATCTTGTTTTGGTTTTCACTTTGGTGTCTCCTTTTAAAAACTTTTTATTATGGAAAACTTCAAACATAAAAGTAGAGAAAATAGTATAATGAACCAGATGTGCCCATCACCCAGCATTAATACTTATTACATGGATTCTGGCTGCACTCGAGATCTTTTTTCCCTTTGGTGTTCTGCAGTGTTTTTTTTTTATTTGTTTTTGTTTTTTGTTGTTTTTTTTTTTTGAGACAGAGTTTCGCTCTTTTTGCCCAGGCTGGAGTGCAATGGCGCGATCTCGGCTCACCGCAACCTCCGCCTCC